TTACTACAGAGTGACTGTGTGGAGATATTGCCTGACTATCCTGACTCATAACGAGCTTGGAACAACTCAGTCTAGGGTTCAGGTGAATTTTAGTTTGTCACCAGCTGGTTTTAGTTCCCACAGCCTCTCTGTCTCTTTGATTTGTGTCTGCTGGAGGTGTCTCTGCTGGGCAGGATGGAGTTGCACACACTTCCTTATGGGATGTACACCAGCCTAACCAGCTCCACACAAATGTGAAGTAACTCACAGGGAGAAGCTGAGGATGTCCCATCCTTGCAAGGTTAGAGCATCCTCAAGGCCAGGTTGGATGGAGCAACCTGGGCTAGGGGAAGGTGTCCCTGCCCATAGCAGGGGGTGGAATTAATCATAGAATCAAATCATAGAATCAACCAGGTTGGAAAAGCCCTCAAAGATCATCAAGTCCAACCTAAAATTAGAATTAGATGGTCTTTAAGGTCCCTTCCAACCCAAACCAGTCTGGGATTTGTCTGGGCTTGGCAAGGAAAACCAGCTTAGCATCAGTGGCACTCATGAGGTAAAGATGACTATGAGAGCTCCTTGGAGCATAACTGGAGGTGTAAGGCCAAGTGTGGCTTGGCCTTAAGGCCTGGAGAAGAAAAAAGGAAGAAATAAACCAATAAACAGAGCAGAAACACAGGTTAAGGAGTAACCATGGACTCCTAGGCCAACTCCCTAAGAAGAAACTTCCTTCAGTTTTGCCTGTTACAGAAGGAGAGCACATTGGCCATAAAGTGATATATTTCTATGTCTCAAACCCATGAAATATTAATACCTTGAGCTCTGCCCCTTCCTGCCCTGCTGAGCAGGTTCCCAGGCTCTGCCATCTCAGTGTTAAATGGACACAGCCCATGTGGATTCACTCATAAATTGTTCAATCCTTTCCTTCCTTTTAACTTCAGTCTCCACCACTAGATGGGACTCAGGGCCAGAACATAATCATAAAGGTCAGGCAGGAGCTCGTGCAAAGCCAATGTTTACAAAGCAAAGTGACATGCTATGTGGCTGTTCAGCTCTCAGAAAGCAAAAGGTCCTGATAAACTGTATTTGTAGAATTTATTTCTCTGTGATGTTAAGATTTTATGCCTTGTCTCTTCCTCATCTCTCATCCCTGCACAGAAATCTGCAGTATCTGCCCATAAGTTATTTCTGGAGGATAAGTAACTTAGAATGAGACTTGGGTTAATTTCCTAGTTAACATCTGCAGAGTTGTGTGGAGATTGAGGGACCAGAAGTGCTAAAGGATCTACAGCCTGGCAGGGGGATGGGACAAGCACAGCTTCATGGTTATCCCACTGACAGGATCCCATTGCTCCCAGGTTTTAGGATGTTTGCTGTGGGAGTTGGCAATGCAGTGGAGGATGAGCTGAGGGAAATTGCTTCAGAGCCAGTAGCTGAGCACTACTTCTACACAGCTGACTTCAGGACCATCAGCAAGATTGGGAAGAAGCTACAGATGAAGATCTGTGTTGGTGAGAGTTGGGGACTGGGGAGGGAGAAGGTCACAGCATTTGAAGGCTGGAAGCTGAAGGATGAAAATATCCCTTTAGGTGGATGTTCCCAAAACCTCTCTGTCCTCAGTGTATGGATTTGGCAGAATACATGAAAGGAGACATCAACATTTTGGGTGGTTACCTGAATCACAGTCACACCTTTACCTCAGCCCCTCCCCTTGCACAAACTGCCTTCTCCTTCCCTTTTTCTCCCACTTTATCCCCCTTTCTCTCCAGAAATTATGAATTCAGGCTGTCCCAGACCCTGAGAATAGCCAAAAGTGACATAAGGAGAGAAGAGATCTCTTAAAAGAGAAGCCAAGGCCATTTATTTGGCTTAACATGAAGATCAGCCCAAAACTGGACCTGAGTTGAAGCTCCCTAACCACTGGCTGCTTCTCCAGCCAAACAGGCACCACAGGAGGGACACATTTCTACTTGAAATAAGCATCTGGTGTCTTCTAAATGACTTGTAGGTGGCTAAATTTGGGCAACATGAATGCTAAGTTGCTCATTCTGGATAGTGCAGTGCAGCAAAGGCTGAGAGAGGACTGAGAGGGAGATAGACGTGACCAGAAGAGGTAAAAAGAGCACAGAATTTAAAGCATGTTGAGCTGTAAATAACTTGAGTCTAAAAATGATTAAAAAAATGAACTCTCAGGGTTATTTTAGATTCTTATTTTGAAGGAATCCTATGCCTCTAATGGAATATTGGCCCTTGGTAGTGCAGCTGCTTGCTCAGGCAGATCATAGCACATCCCAAACACTCAGGCTTCATTTAAGACACTGAATACCTTTCAGCATGGCTCAGAGCTGCACTGCCAAGCTCATCAGGAACCTGGCACAGCCTTGTCCAGGTGCTCCTTTATCCTGCCAGGCAAATATTTCCTTCCAGTTCCAGCAACAGAACTGCACACAGCTCTGATGAGGCTCATTAGATCCCAAGAGAGTTCTGCCAAGCTCAGCTCGACTTCCCAACCTGCTGTTGAGTGCAAATAGCCCCACTCAGTGCAGAGATCTCCACTGCTCTCATGGCATGAGGAGATGCTCTACAGCATCAGCTGGAGGAAATCATAGGGTGGTGAGACTCTGGAACAAGTTGCCCAGGGAGGTTATGGATGGTCCAACCCTGGCAGAGTTCAAAGCCAAATTGGCTAAATCCTTGAGCAACCTGCTCTGGTGAGAAGTGCCCCTGCCTAGGGCAGGGGGTTGGGGCTGGATGATCTCTGATCTCCATTCCAACCTCTAAAATTCTGTGCCAAATATTGTGCCAAACCCAAGAGAGATCCATGTAACTATTAGTGGGCTAGCAGTAGTTGACAAAAGGTACTCAGGAATTTAGGGGGTTTGCCTTAGGAAAATTAGACTGGGATCTTTGCACCCATCCTGGGGCATCCTGTTCCCCAGATTCCTAAAGATGGGATACTCCTTTCTTCCTGGAGATATCTGAGAGGGACAACACCATCCAGGGTTCTGTGGCTGCAGAGCCTGGGATCAGATTTGCAAGGCATAGACCCTCTTTACCATGGCTCCTTTAAAAACTAGGAGTCAATCCAAGAGGAAGATGATGGAAACTATATGAACCCCCAAGATATTGTATTTAAATCCCTTTCAAGAAAGCAAACACATTTAGGCTTCAGCATTCAAAAAGCAAAAGGAAAAGCGAATTTCCCAAACATTATTTGCTTACAAAAAAACCCAAAAAATCAATTTGGGTAAATATATTAACATTGGAGTATTAAAATCAAAAAGAAAGGAAAGGAAATATTTGCCTTTGTTGGATTTCCAGTGCCAACTTGTATTTCTCAGCAAATAGCTGGAAATCTTCTGCTAATATCCAGCTTTAGTTTGCTCATGACTGGGTTAATCCCAGTGGGTTTTGTGCAAGTGATGTCCTTTCCTTTCACAAGTCTTTCTCTATTTCCTCCTTCCACTGTGGTTTGTCAACACCTCCTTGCTTTTCCCACCCTTTTTTACTCCTATTCCAGTTGAAGTTCATTTTTCTTGAATAAGATATATCAATTATTGATATAAATTAGCAAATTATTAACTGAATGTTGAGGCAAAACTCAAACAGGTCTTGATTCTCAGGTGGTAACCAATGTCTCTGACTTTTATGTGCTGTTATTGAGGAGACAGAGGTGGTTTTGAGGGCTGAATTTAGTCAGATTCAAGTTTTGGGGGCAAATTTTAAGTGTCAGGAGTAGAACCCAGTGGAATTTCAGGAAAATGGAAATCCAGAAAGGCTTTTCATGCATGTTCTGTCTATGCAGCAGGAAAATGTGAGGTTCTGTAGTCATCTGAGATTGGAGTCAGAATCATAGAATCAACCAGGTTGGAAGAGACCTCCAAGATCATCAAGTCCAACCCTACCATGGTTACTAGACCATGGCACTAAGTGCCACATCCAGTCTCACCTTGAAAACCTCCAGGGATGGTGAATTCACCACCTCTCTGGGCAGCACATTCCAATGATTCATCACTCTCTCTGGAAAAAATCTCTTCCCAATATCCAACCTAACCCTCCCCTGGCAGAGCTTGAGTCTGTCCCTCTTGTCCAGCTGCTGGTTGCCTGGGAGAAGAGACCAACCCCCACCTGACTCCAACCTCCTGTCAGGGAGTTGCAGAGGGTGCTAAGGTCTCCCCTGAGCCTCCTCTTCTCCAGGCTGAACACCCCCAGCTCCCTCAGCCTCTCCTCATGGCACTTGTGCTCCAGTCCCTTCCCCAGCCTTGTTGCTCTTCTCTGGACCTGCTCCAGCACTTCAAATTAGGTTTTGATTTCCTTCCTGTTTCTGACAAATCAAATAAGAATTGTTCTATTTCCCTCGTCTCAGTTATTTTTACATCCTTTATTTTTTTGTGCCACTTAACTCAACTCATTGATATTTCAACCCACAGAGGAAGATCCATGTGAATGTAAATCTATTGTGAAGTTCCAGACCAAAGTAGAAGACCTCATCAATTCATTGCAGCAAAAATATATCCTTTGGAAGTTGTCTCTTGATATTTCAACCCACAGAGGAAGATCCATGTGAATGTAAATCTATTGTGAAGTTCCAGACCAAAGTAGAAGACCTCATCAATTCATTGCAGCAAAAATATATCCTTTGGAAGTTGTCTCTGTCCAGAACTTGGGTTGGCATGTGCTTTCTGGAGACACCAGTGGGGAAAATCTCCTCCTGGGGGAAGGAGGTTGGGGAGGTGCTCAGGAAGCTGGAAACAAGACACTTGGGCTACTGGATGTAGCACTTAGTGCTCTGGTCTAGTTGACAAGGTGGTCATTGGTCAAAGGTTGGACTCAATGACCTTGGAGGTCTTTTCCAGCTTCAATGATTCTGAGATTCTGGGATTCTGTGAAGGTGGGTCATGCATGGGACTGCAGTCTGCAGGTCCTGTGAGGGCTGTGAGCAGCACTAGGCTGTTGGTAGACAAAACTACTGGTGCACCTCTACAGCTGATCCTCTCCCCCATTACAGCTCCCTGGATGGAATTCTCTTTGTGATGGTCAGTGTCTTCAGAGCAAACATCCAAGCTGCTGCCTAAATTCCTCCACAGACTGGTGGGAAAGGGAGGCTCCTACAGCAAAACACCTCTGACTGGAGAGTTGGTGGTGTGAATAATTCAGATGGATAGATCTAATATCTGGCAGGCCCAAATATTCAACTGATAAATCCAAATGGGTAGATCCAATATCTAACAGGTCCAGATATCCAATGGATAGATCCAGATGGAGAGATCTAATATCTGGCAGGCCCAAATATTCAACTGATAAATCCAAATGGGTAGATCCAATATCTAACAGGTCCAGATATCCAATGGATAGATCCAGATGGATAGATCCAATATCTGGCAGGTCCAGATATCCAATGGACAGATCCAGATGGATAGATCTATTATCTGGCAGGCCCAGCTGGCTAAAACTCTGTTCCAGGAGATAAAATCTCATGTAGCTGCTCACTGCAAACATCTCCAGTGAGGTGAGTTGGATCCCATCTGAACAGAGCTGATGGGACTTCATCCTACCATGCTTGGTCCTGTCATAGTGTACAAAGACCATGAATGAGTGATTGAAAGAGAATCAAGAGAAAGGAAAAGTTGTAAGACTCCAACTTCTCCTGGAGAGAGGAATTCCTGAAGCCTTGGGGTGGCTCCCACAGGGCTGGGGAGATATTTCCCTCCTGAGAATAAGGAGAGGATGTAATCTTGAAAGCAATGTTGGAATTTCTTCCCACATTTTTGTGCTCTGCTCTGGCAGTCACACACTTTAGTTTCTCTTCTTTAACTCCAATTGAGTGAAATCCATGACTTTAGTTATGCAAAAGGTCAGAGCAAATCAGTGCTTCTCACCCAGTGGTTGCTGCTCCCAAGCACATCATGCAAAGCAATTAGTGGAAAGAGCAGAAAATTGCCAGGACACACAATAGAACTCCAAAAAAAAGCACTTTGTTCTGCTCTTTAGACAACGTGAACTCTTGGAGGTCAGGAACTCCTGATCAGTCCATCCAAACACTCTCCAATCAGTCTCACTTTTACTCTTCCTTTCAGAGTGAATGTATAGGTGTGTGACTCTGTATGTGTGTGTGTGTGTATGGACATTTTCTACCTTCCATAGAAGTTCATCAGCCTCAACAGCTCTGGAAATGCCAGAGTGGGTGATGACAGATTCCCTCTGCTACCTGTTCCCAGCGAGGCAGCACCAGTCCAATCTTCATCTGTTCTACCAGTCAGGGAGGACTGGAACATTGATCATAGAATCCCAGACTGGTTTGGGTTGGAAGGACCTTAAAGATCATTTCATTCCACCCCCTGCCATGGGCAGGGACACCTTCCACCAGCCCAGGTTGCTCCAAGCCCCATCCAACCTGGCCTGGAACACTCCCAGGGATGGAGCAGCCACAGCTTCTCTGGGCAACCTGTGCCAGTGCCTCAGCACCTCACAGGGAACAATCCCTTCCTCACATCTAACCTAAATCTCTCCTCTTTTAGTCCAAACCTTTTCCCCTTGGCCTAGCACTTTCCCTGTAAAGTCACTCTCCCAACATACACTGATTTTTTTCTCCTTAACTCTTGCTCACTGGAAGCTGTGGCCAAAAGGATTGAAGCTCTGGAGAACAAGATCATCTAAGACCCCAACATAGTATTATTTACATCCTTCCAAATGTAACAGACCTAGAATTCCTTCACTTGGAGGCAGCTGAGGCACAGTGCTCTGGGCAGCTTGTATTTGTTAAAGAGTCTAGTCACCTGCATTTGTTTTAAGGGAAGAAATATAGCAGTAGAGCAGACATTGTATAACAGAGCACTGTGTGTGACCCAGAGCTAGGCCATGCTAATGTTTGTTGCATCCTATAGAGTGCCTATAACAAAAGAAACTGGAAAGATTTGGGGGTTTGATTTCAAGCTTAATATATGTGTGTGTTCATAAGTACTTGATATTGATTTCTGTGAAGCCTTGCTGTGTTTCTTCTGCAGCTTTTGTTTCTTATGCATGAGCTAATTTAATTTAAAGGTCCAAGGGACTTCAAATCACCTCAGATGCTGAGTGGAAAATGCCAGAGCTGATCACCTTATGGTTGTAACCATGAGGAGTTTGTCAGTAAGTAGGTGAAACAGAGCAATGATCCCTGAGTGGTGCTGCAGGTAGGATAGGCTAAGCAAGACTGTGCTGCTCATTGGGTTTATCCACAGCTGTTGCACAATGGAGAAGGAATAAAACTCAGCTTTCCCAGCCAGTGAATGGCCTTGCAGTGTCTCAGTGTCTGAGCACCTGAGCTACATCTCTTCTGGAGAAGTCCTGATGCTGTGCCATGAGCTGTGGCTCTGTGTAACACAGGGCAGTGCTGTCACTCCAGCCCAGGAGATATGTCCCTGCTCCTCAGCTCTCTGGTCTCCACATCCTCCACTGGAGCATCATCAGCACCAAAAACACATGGAACTGCTGCTGGAGCTGCTGCTGGAAGCAGTGCCTTGATTGCTGTGTTGACCAGCACTGCTTCCTTCTTCTCCCACACCTCTAAGCACCTTCAAGTTCATCTCAAGACCTTTAAGACTCTGCTCCTGGATTCCCAGCACTGGCAAGACCAAGAAGCAATGTGGACTGGAAGCACCTGAGGCTGCCTGTCTCCTGCAGCTGTATCCTGGCCAGGCAGGGAGGGACAGGGCTGTGGTTGTCCATGGCCTGATCATGCCCCATTGAATGTGAGCACAAGGCATTGATTGGCTTTGGAGGGGGTTTCTGGTTTATTTTTTGTATCAAAATATTTATACTTGAGACTATGTGCAAAGCTTTTCAGAAGATCATGGCCTGTTCAGGAATGTCACCACAGCAGATGTGTTTGGGGGGAATATTAAAAGTTTGCTGTAAAATTTGAAGAGTGGATTTCTTCCTCTGGGTGAAATTTCAGGTAATTCCCTAACAACACCTTGTTAGTGGGTGGGAAAACCTTCAGCTCAGTTCAACCTCTTAATTCAATGCAAGAGTAGAACCAGGTCCCTAGAGAAAGTGAGAACCTTCTTTCAAAACAAAAAGCTTCTTTTACAAAAAAAATCATCTCTTGGAGGCACAGGGGTGAGTCAGGCACTAACTCAAATCCTGAACTTGTAGGGATAAGACTTCTCTCCACTCCTTTCACACAGATAAAATCTAGAGCTCTAAGCCTGAGCTTCTCATGTCACATTTGTGTCTCAATAGAGACACATCCTACAGGGCAAACTCAATGTGCACATTTTAGAGGCAACACCTGAGTCTACTTCTCTTTATAAATGATAACAACTCCTTCAAACTATGCAACTAACCTAAAAACCTCACCCAGGGCAAGAGAGTCACCTCTGCTGCCAAGATTATATCTTTCTATATCTATCTAGATACCATTAGACAGATAGGAGGAAAAGTTTTCCCTGTCAGGGTGTTCAGGCACTGGGATATTGCTCAGGAAGGTGGTGGAGTCACCATCCCTGGAGGGGTTTAAGAGGCATCTGGAAGCACAGGAGGATCTGGTTTAGGGGTTACAGCAGGGACAGGTTGAGGGTTGGACTCAATGATGTGAGAGGTCTCTTCCAATCTTGATGGTTCTATCATTCTATATCTGGTTTTCCCTAGGTCTCCTTCCTAGTTTATCTCCATATTTCTCTATCCTATGGTTATTACTCACTGAAAACCTCAATCCAAACAAAACTTTTGGCATCACCAGGTCCTACTTCCCACAGTAAAATCCTCCTCAAGGAACTCAACATCAGAGAGGGCCATAAATAGCAACCAGAAAAGAAAGTTTTTCATTCCAGTGCTCCACAATGACAGAGGGGCCAAGATATATTGTCAGGCACAGAATTGCTTCTGTAACTAATATTTTGTTTTATGTTACAGATAAAGCAGAACTAAAGTAATTAACAATTCTTTTTCCTCCCCTCTCACTTCTCCTGGCTTAAAACAACAAAGGAGCTCTTGCATCTCCAAAGTCAATTAGTCACTGGGCTAAAACATAGGCTTTTGACGTTGTAATTAGGCTTCATTAATGGATTGCCAACGGGCAGCAAGATGGAAACCAGCTAGATGAGGCTCTCTTTGCATTTTCTTTCAGCTAATTACATGCTTATCTTGCAAACAAAAGATGCTGCACACAATGAAAAGAAAACACTGTGTGTCCCAAATTGTGGAGTGATGAGCTCATAGAAAAGCTCCTTGCTGCAGGTTGGGAAATGATCCTTCTTCTAGGTATGGGACTTGTTTTCCCTCTCTTTGCTGCTGCATCCTTAACCAGGTTGGCCTGAGAGGTGGTAGGTGCCACATGCCTGGAAACATTCAAATTCAGCTTGGATGGGGCTCTGAGCAATCTGATGTGGTTGATGACCCTTCTCATTGCAAGGGGTTAGACTAGATGACTTTTAGAGATCCTTCCAACCCAAACCAGTCCATGATTCTATGATCCTACATATGACTAGTCCTTCTCTCCATGTTGCCACCAAATCCCAAGTTCCTTCAGACCTTCCAGCAAAATGATTTATCCAATGTTCTCCTTGGGGTGTGTAAAACATCCTTGACCACTTTTTCCTTACCTCCCCTTGGGTGCTGAGTGTGAAAGCTGAAGCCTCCCAAAAGCAGGAGGAAAGCTGTGCCTTCCAGCAGAGTTTTACCAACACAAACCCTCTGGGGAAACAATTTGCTCCTGCAGGTCATTGATATTATAACACAGGGCCATGAGTAATCAGAGCAAAAAGTGCTTTCAATTAAACCAAGGCCTTCTAGCTTGGTTACATCTTTCAACAGCAATTTGTCCAAATAATGTGGTGTAATTGCTGCTAATGAATGGGTAGGTAACAGAGCAGTTATTAGGATGGTTTTTCTCCAAGCAACATCAGGCACTGAAACCTCTCTGAGGCTGTATGGATTTACTGCTCCTTGGGAAAAACACAGAGCTTCCTCTACTTGGTCCTCTGAGGTAATTCAGTGAAGAGACAGTTTAAGGTGCTGGGAAATTTATGTGCTGCAAATTATGATTTCTCCTTTTACGTTCAACTTGGGAAGAAGCTTCAACAAGCCAAAATACACTAGCAGTGTAATTCTTTTAGGGATGAACTTGCTAAGGATCAGAGTTATGGCTATAAATTGTAAGTGGCTTTTATACTTCAGATAGTCTTTTGGATTTATTTATTCTTTAATCACCATTCATGGCAGGAACTGGTTTGTGAGTTTTACACTGGTTGTGGTGGTTTACTGTTCTCTGCCTTGTTGGCACCATTATCTCCTGCAGAGATTAGACTAGAGACACCAATAAATGCTGAGCATTTATCTGCTCTCAGGTGGTGCTGTTTGGTGGGGATCACATTGCTATCCCTCTCCTCTGGATGGAGAAGGTAGAGCAAGTGACATTGTGAAGTGCTGGGAACATCATAGGGATGTGCAGGAAGGAAAGTCCTTGGTCTCCAGGGCTGTCCTAAAGCACACAGGTAATTTTCCAGCTGAGCAATGAAGTATGTTACTTCCTACACCACTGAGCACACTCAAACACCTCTGATCCTCCATCCTGGCTGGTGAGACCTGTCCACAATCCACAGATGTCATCACACAACCTGTGATGGAACCTCTAGTGCTGTGTCCAGTTCTGACCCCTCACTTCAAGAAGGACATTGAGGTGCTGGAGAATGCCCAGAGAAGGGAATGGAGCTGGGGAAGGGGTTGGAGTACACATCTGATGAGGAGAGGCTGAGGGAACTGGGATTATTTAGCCTGGAGAAGTCTCAGGAGGCTCTACAATTACAGGAGGTTGGAGTCAGGTGGGATCAGGCTTTGCTCCCAGGCAACTAATTTCTTATTAGATATAAGAAACAAGTTTTTTTTACGGTGAAGTTGCTGAGACACTGGCACAGGTTGCCCAGAGAAGCTGTGGCTGCTCCATCCCTGGGAGTGTTCCAGGCCAGGTTGGATGGGGCTTGGAGCAACCTGGGCTGGTGGAAGTTGCCCTTGCCCATGGCAGGGGGTGGGATGAGCTGAGCTCAGGCAACTAATTTCTTATTAGATATAAGAAACAAGTTTTTTTTACGGTGAAGTTGCTGAGACACTGGCACAGGTTGCCCAGAGAAGCTGTGGCTGCTCCATCCCTGGGAGTGTTCCAGGCCAGGTTGGATGGGGCTTGGAGCAACCTGGGCTGGTGGAAGTTGCCCTTGCCCATGGCAGGGGGTGGGATGAGCTGAGCTTTAAGGGTCCTCCAAGCCAAACCATCCTGGGATTCGATGATAACACCAGATACCTAGAAATTAGGGAACTGTCTGGGGGTGTGAGAGGGAGTGTGAGAGATGAGAGGGGGAAAGGCTTTGAACCACATGTGGCTCCTGGCCTGGCTGAGCATCTTTGCCTTAGAGCATCAATAAAAGTAAAAAGCTTTGTTTGTTGTCTTCAGGTAAGTTTTTCTGAGTGGAGAACATTGAGGACAAGAGCCACAGCAGAGAGAGGGTGGAGTTGTCCCCTTGGCAGCAGCTGTGGGATCAAAGATCCCACTCTGGGGGTGTGTGGCCAGAAGGCAATCACAGACCTGCCCTGCAGGACATCTGCTGCAGGTGACCACACACATGCATGGAATGAAGAAACAGCACAGAGGGAGGCACAGGAGTCAGGTTGACTTTGCTGATGGTGTTGGGATGTATCCAGAGGTGGAGAGGGACTGGGAGTTATCATTGCCCAGTGCTGCATGAACTGAACTAGGATCACTGGGATCCTGGGATAAGATACCCCATGGATAAGGAGTTATCCCTGCTGTTTCTCTATTCTTCACCCTGCTGGGTGCAGTGAAGGCTCACACACCATGCAGGGGTGTCCCTTGTCACCATGAACATCCCTGGGCACCCAGAGAAGCCCAAGACTTGTGCCAG